AACTCCAGACTTCGGTGGAGTTTTGATGTCTCCCCCATCTGTAAAGGTGAGTAATGGCAGCTTATCAAAGTCTTCTTGGTTCTCCTCATCTTCCTTCCCAACTGCATAATACTCAGCATCCAAATTCTCATCAAAATCATCTTCTAATGAAGTAACAATTCTGGTTCTTTCATCGTCAGATACAAGTGCATCAGTTGTTGAGCCAAATTTGGTTTTCAAGTCTAGAGTCATTTCTTTTTTCAAAAGTTTATAGGCATCAATCTTATCCTGTCCATTTGAGATCTGAGAACTATTGCTGATTTTGCTGTTTTCACTTTCTGACACTTTTAGTTTATCTTGCAGCATTTCTTCAAGAGCTTCAAATGAAGGCTGCTCTCCCTGAGCATGATCGGCTTGGCTGTTTGTATGGGGGTGGTGCTTCTGAGCTGTAAACTGCTCCTGAGGATTCTTTGCCTTTTCTGAGAATACTCTGTCACTTTCCTCTGAGTTGGCTTCTACTGGTTCACGCTCAGGTTCCCTTTCCTTAGATAATTCAGGATATTTTTCCACATCCTGTGAAGTTTTTTCTACAGCTTTCTCAGAATCTCCAGTTGAAGAATTGTACAATTTCAAGAACCCTAAAAGTTCTACATTATAATTATCAAAATCATCTCTTCCTCCATCAAAACAAACAAAATCCATCTCCTGCAAGAAAAAAAAAATTAGTGTGTCACTAATCAAGTATCACAAGAGCAAACTCTTATCCATGTTAATAACTGAGATAATCCCAAATTCATGTTTGGCTCTAAAGGAGCTTTTGTGCCAATGTTGGGCACCTGTTCTTGGGCAGTGTGTGGTTAGGAGGCAGGAACTCACTTTCCCATCTGAGTAATACACCTGGCTTCCCTTCATTCTCTCTTCCCCGGGGGAGGAATGATTCATGTGGTTGGTGAGTTTGCCCAGTCCCATTCCTGTTTTCTGTTTGGGACCTGCTAGAAAGAAAACACACATTCTGTTCTTCCATGCTGTCAGTTTTACAGGGACAGTCCCCCTTTGGGAGGCCTCTGGTTGGGTAGCTCTGTTTGTGACTGGGTAAATCCATCATAATTTAGACTGTAATGTTAGAAAGCCCATTATTTCTGCATACTCCAAACAGCTTTATCAGTAAATAATGGGGTCATTTTGATCTTCTATGTGCCCAACTTCTGGGTGTCTCAATTTGTTTTGAGCACAGGTGGGGAAAAGTGAGGCATCATTTATTGGATTCTGCAACTCCCAACATCTATGCCTGATGTTCTGGGAATTCACCTCATAATAACCCATCTAGAAGTAGCTAAAAGACCATCAGCTTCTCTACATTTTGCCCTGCACGCCATACTTCTCTGCTCATCCAGTCAGAAACAAGCAGAATCACCTGGCCGTTAGGCTCCTAGTCTACAGGGATATGGGGATCATATTTTCCTTGGATTGAGAAAGATAAATCAGCTTCAGAGGGAACTTACTGAGATAGAGGTGCATGAGATGTAAAAATGTGAGAGAACAAATAATGGTGTAAAGGGGCTCCCCATTTTGTTACTGCCCCAAGAACAACTTGAAAACAGGATTCAGTAAGGTAGGTACCTAACTCCAAATAAGGATTCTAGGCAGTCACTAAGATCTGCTCTCAGGATTATCAGTAAATTTATATTTTTCCTTTCCTCCACCAGTAAGTAAATTGACATACAAGGAGCCATAAAACAAGGAAAAGTTAAAAAACCAACAAAGATAATTTTCTTCCCCTAAGTAAACATTCACAATCTTCTGGGGGAGGCCTGTCCAGTATGCTAGAGATGAATGATTTCCCTCTTTCCATCATGTCCACTTCTGAGCCAATTGTTTTTAATATCAAGGGAATCATGCAATGGGAACTGCAATTACCATACAGAATTCAAAACAGGTCAGGCCTATGTGACCAATGAATTGCTGTCTCACACTCATATCCTGAGCAGTCTCCTCATCAGAAGTGAAGCCAAACAGGCAGTAGGACTATGTAACCCCTGAGGGTATCAAGAAATTTTAAGCCTAGTGATAGCTCTGTGACTTCATTCTGCCAATCTCATCTAAGAATTGCACTAGCCCAGCAGCTTTCATGCTCTGCAGTAACCCCAAAGAGCTATTCAGACTTCTGAATGAAGATGAACATTAATTACTATAAATTCTAAAACTCAGAAAATAACCAGATGGGGCCAGGCACAGTGTTATAGATATATTATGCAGCCCATAATCCTAGCACTTTGGGAGGCCAAGGCAGGTGGATCACTTGAGGTCAGGAGTTCAAGACCAACCTGGCCAACATGGTGAAACCACATCTCTACTAAAAATACAAAAAATTCCCTGGGTGTGGTGACAAGCCTGTAATCCCAGCTACCTGAAGGCTGAGGTAGGAGAATTACTTGAACCTTGGAGGCAGAGGCTGCAGTGAGCTGAGACTGCACACTCTACTCCAGCCTGGGCAGCAGAGCAAGACTGCATCTCAAAAAAATAATAATCAGATGGAATGCAGATTCTAGGAAACAAAATCCTTTTAGTACAAAACCATTGTGTACTATAGATAAATGCTTTATAGAATGTGTAGTCAGTGCCTTACAGATTTGACACTGGACCTTACCCTTTTCCAAATCTATAGCTATAATTCCTTAAATCACTATAGAGTCAATAACAAGAAAACCTTTGTAAGTTTGCATTTCTGGCTTAGTATAAAATTAGAGCTTGATTAATTGAAACTGATTTCTATATCCTTAACATATCTAACAGCTATCCAATAAATAGTTTACAAATTGGGATACAGCTTCTTCTTTTGCTCATAAAATGAAATTATTTACCTTCTAACATTAATGAGTAAATATAAAACTATTGAATTCTTAGTTTTCACATACAAAGCAGCAAGGGAAAGCCCTGTATAAGAGTACACAGCCTTATATAAGAACATCTATTTCAATATATTAGATAACTATCAGATTATGATAACATCTCATTTAAATTCTTTGGAAATTTTTCTTTCTTTTTTTCTGGGTAGTCACTTATAAGCCAACTTATAACTGAGAACAAGGCAGAAACCACAGCTTACATCTGTTGGAACTTGTAGCTCTTCTTTGGTATATTCATGAACTACCTGGATTAAATCTTTTGAAAAATATCCAAAAAGGTGACAACCTATACAAAAGAATGGGCAAAAGGGACAAATATCAATCAAATCTGTATGAGAAATATAAACAAGAGACTTCTTATTAGTATAGAAAATATACACATACATAGGTAAGTAGGTATAAGTAAGAGAGGTAGATAGTTGCTGTTATAATTACACCAAGATTATTACTTATTACTCTGAAATTTTAATTACAGAACTTGTTAAGCCAACGTTTCTAAAACTGTGGAATTTTTTTTTATTACATTCGGCTTAATTCTAAATGCAGGACATGTAAAATTAGCGTTTAGAAGTAGATAAAAGATCTGTATAAGGGAATATTATTGTATATTTTGTATGATTAGAGCTATGCATAGCAAAGCTGGTTGTAAACACGATTCCAAGTAACCTCTAGCAAAAATGTATCTGCACTTTTCATAGCATTGGTCATAACCCAGGACTCATAAGTATTTCTTAAACAATAAACAAGAGCCATGTCATAAGTAAAAAGAATCTAAAATACATAACCACTACAATAAAAGGCAAATACAGCTGACCTTTAAACAATACAGGTGTTAGGAGCACAGTCAAAAATCTGCATAAAACTTCTGACTCCACAAAAACTTAACTACGAATAGCCTACTATTGATCAGAAGCCTTACCAATAACATAAATGGTCAATTAATACATATTTTACATCTTATAGGTATATGTTTTATTCTTGCAATAGAGTAAGTTAGAGGAAAAAAAAAGGTTATTAAGGCCAGGCATCGTGGATCATGCCTGTAATCACACTGGGCAGAGGCAGGAAGATCACTTAAGTTCAGGAGTTCCAGACCAGCCTTGTGACATAGTGAGACTTTGTCTCTACAAAAAGCTTTTTAAAAAACTAGCTGAGCACAGTGCCATGCACCTGTAGTCCCAACTACTGGGGAGGCTGAGGTGGGAGGATGACTGGAGCCCAGGAGATTCAGGCTGCAGTGAGGCTGTAGTGAGCCATGATGGCACCACTGCACTCGAGCCTGGGTGATAAAGTATTAAGAAAATCGAAAGAAAGAGAAAACATATTTACTATTCATCATTAATTGGAAGTGGATAATCATCCTCATCATCTTCATACTGGTAGGGTGAAGCAGAGGAAGAAGAGGTGGGGTTGGTCCTGCTGTTTCAGTGGTAGCAGAGGCAGAGGAGGTAGAAGAGGAGGCAGACGCACTTGGTGTGACTTTATGGAAGTGCAATGTAATTTCTGTCTAGCTTCTTTTGCTTTTTCATTTCTCTAAAAGTGTTTCTGTATGGTACCAATTCTTCTTCTACTGTTCGCTTTATTTTCAGTGCCCATATGAGACATTGGTCCATGTTATAACAGAAGTTGATAACAGTCTTTAATAACTGAAACCCTTCTATCAGATTGCCTGATACTGACTTGTTTTCTGGCCTTTATGTCTTCTTCCTCACTGTCTGGCACTAGTTTTGAAGCACCCATTTCCATCAAGTTGTCTCCTGTTAATTCCTCTGGTGCGGTGTCTATTAGCTCTTGAATTTCTCCAAGATCCACATCTTGAAACACTTCATTCTCACCTTTTTGCCATATCCACAATCTGTTCCATGATTTCCTTGACTGACTGTATCATAAATCCTATGAAATCAAGCACAACGTCTGGATACAGTTTTCTCCAGTAGTAATTTATTTTTTAGGGCTTGATGGCTTTCACAGTCTTTTCTGTAACAATGATGGCATCTTCAATGATATAATCCTACCAGAATTTCATGATGTTCTTTCTATTCGCATTCTCTTCCATAGTGTTGACAATCCTTTCCACAAACTATAGTGAGTAATGATCCTTAAAGTTCCTCATGACCTACTAATCCAGAGGTTGAATTAGAGATGCTGTGTTTAGGGCAAGTAGACCACTTCAACTCCTTTGGTATTGAACTCACAAGGTTGTGGATGGCTGGGGGCATTGTCTGATGTCAAAAGGACTTTAAAAAGCAGTCCCTTACTGGCAAGTTACTTCCTAACTTCAGGGACAAAGCATTGATGGAATCAATCCAGAAAAAGGGTTGTCATTGTCCAGACTTTCTTATTGTATATCCAAAATAGGGGCAGCTGGTATTCAACTTTCCCTTCAAGGCTTAGGGGTTAGCAGATTTATAAATAAAGGCAGAAAGCAGTCCTGATCATAAACCCGACTGCATTTGCACAAAACAATGGAGTTGGCTTATCCCTTTCTCTTTTAAATCCTAGTCCTCACTTGTTTTCCTTATCAACAAATATCCTTTATGGCATTTTTTTCCCCAAAATAGGGCACTTCTGTCAACATTAAAAACCTGTTCAGACACATAGCCTCTCTAAATGATTTTCTTAATGGTGTCTAGGAACTATTCTACTGCCTCCTGGTTGGCAGAAGCTGCTTCTGCTGTTGGTTTGATTTTCTTTAAGCCAAACGGCTTTCTAAAATTATCAAACCATCCTTTGCTGGCCTTAAATTCTCCAGCATTAGACCCTTCATTTTCCTTTTGCTTTAAGTTGTTATACAATGACTCTGCTTTGACTTAAATCACATTAGAATCTATAGGTATGCCTTTCTAACAGCAAGCCTATAACCACATAAAAGCTATATTTTTAATAGTACATAAAATGGTATTTTGCAAAACAAAAAGTGTAAGATCTTCATGACTGCTGGCATAGCTGCAATAATAGCTTCAAGGATTTCCTTTTTTTTTTTTATAATGGTCCTTATGCTAGATTTGTTAATCTTGCAACCACAGCTGCAAACCTCAATCTACGGCACATATCAAGCAATTCAACTTTTTCTTGTAATGTCATTACTTTTTGTCTCTGCTACTTGATAGCACTTCCAACATCACTAGTGACACTTCGTATGGGTCTCAGAGTGTTACTCAAGGTTTACAGTATTGCACTAAACACAAAAAGTGCATGAGAACCACAAGAGATCACTTTTTGAGCACTATACAATTTATTGGAGAAATGAATTGCTCACGTGGCATAATTAGTGTCACATAGCATTTTAAGTGGATACTCACAATACTTGAGCTCACCAGAATAGCAAGTGTAGGTGGTTATGAAATATTACAGTACAGTATGTAGTACAATTAATTCATGCAATTACGATTTAATATTTTATCTTTATGTTTTACATTTTTCTTGACTGCAAAAGGTGCCATGTAAGACCTGAGTTTGTGTGTGTATGTTTTGATAAATTCTAACTTTTTATATAGATTTGTGTATGTTTTATGGTAATAAAGAATACACTAGGATCTACATATATTTTATATATTAATAACATACCTTTTTCTTAATTCTTTCAATATTTCTAGGCTATGCAGTCTGGGAGTTTTTTTCAAATTATCACAAACCTCCATGAAATTTTATAATACATTTATTGAAAGAAATCTGCCTATAAGTGGACCCACAGAGTTCAAACCTTTGTTGCCCTAGGATCAGCCATATTTGCTGATATTATGTGTTATACTGTCATTTTCCAAAATGACATTACAGGTGTCTGGAGACAAAATAAAATTACAATGTAATGCACACTAATCTGCACACCAAGTTTTCGTTTCATGAAAACCAAATCTCTACAGAAAATAATTCCATTCATATTTAGCACTAGCATCTAAGGTATGTAAAACGTACCCTCTTGAGAAACACAGTCTTTTACTAGCCACTGTCTGAAAGGAAGAGGTAGATCTCCCAATCGTTAAGGGAGGAGGCTGACTTGTAAATCAAATGCACAAAAAGAAAAATAGGCCATATTATCACTAATTCATAAAACACTTCTATTGATGAGGGTTCCTGTTCTATCTGAAAACTATGCGGAAACCAGTATTAGTAGTAAAATACTGCCATGAAGATTAGATAAGGGCAATTAAACTTTGTGTTATTGGCAGATCAAGTCTAAAATGCTAAGAAACAAAAAAGACTGCAGAATGAAAACTAAGAAACAGAAACAAGAATCATTTTGGAAGCTGAAGAAAGAGTTTTTAATTTCCTAAGAAGAAGGTTCATCAAGTTAGAGGGGAGATTATTTTATTAAGGGAGAACCTGGAAAAAGGAAACAAACCAGAGGAAGGGAAACACTATGCATTTACCTTCCTTAATCTTTGTCAATTGAGACCACAGGTGGCATCTCATTTCTTATCATTTGACAAAAAAAAAAAAAGAAAAGAAAAAAGCTGCAGAATTGTAGGCCCGCATGACAAGAAGTAATCTTTCTTCTGCCAAAGTACTGTTGATTTCATTTGGGGGGGTGCTGGGGGTAAGTAGAGTATAGCCTTAAGAGAACAAATTCTGGATAAGTTAATATCAGGATAAATATAAATAAATGTCATTGCCCCATAAGGAAATACTGAAAAGGAAGACAGACAAGGCATGAGCCATTCCATTAAAGAGTCCTCGACTTTATGTGAGCTAAGACAGTACACAAATTAACTGCCATACAAAGCAGTAAAGCAAATGCCACATGAATAGTGCAAACAAAGTGCCACCGTAACAATCATCAGGCAGTAAAGATCCCTTCTGGCTGGGTGCTGAAGGCAGTTTTCCTTAAGAAGGCAGGATGAGAGCTGTGACCCAGAAAGACTGATAGGACACCCAGAGCTGAATGCGTTCATAAGAAAAACTGCAGTGGGAGGAAAATGGTAAGTCAAGTTCGTTCATCCAAATGGTCAAAGATAAGGAGTGGAAAAAACAACTTAACTCTTCTAGAAAAAACTCAGCCTAGACACATGGAAAAACATTTCCAAGAGTAAAGACTACCAACAAATATCCTTAGGCAGACTTGAAAGAAAGAGAATAGATTTGTCTTGGTATGGAGTGAGTCACTTGGGATGCTCTCTAAATAGGATGAACCTGAACAGTTTTTGTTTCCCAAGATTATTCCCTGGGAACCTGGAATGCCAACAAAATGAGTCTGTTTTCCCAAGGGGATTTCTCAAGCCTATTTTCTGTTTCTTTGTTTGTTTGTTTGGTGTTTTATTGAGAGTGACAGCTTTCATGGTTGGAATGGGTATTTCTCTAAGTTGGGACAATCCTAAAGACATAGAGGACCCTTACTACTTGAAGTAAAGACAGAGTCCTCACATCACACTGTCTAAAGAGAAAAGGATAATAACTCATAAGACAAGCCTTTCAACCAGAGGTCACTCCCAGTAAATCTCATTAAAACACCAAAGCATGATGCAGTCATTGACTGCCATGTCTAATATCAGGGCACCCATAAAATCAGCTGGGAACAGAGCTGCTGGGGTAACCTCCAGACCCAGTGACTGAAAAGCAGGACAAGGATGACCCCAAAGCTGCAAACAAGAAAACACACAAGAAAGCACACATGAAACATACATTTTGCTTTTTTACAGACTAATAATAACACAGATGATTAGGGAACTATTCCCAAGACTGCCACTTTTTCATAAATATTAATATAAACAAAGAAATCACATAAAATCAACTTTTTTTTAGCCTTTTGAGATGGAGTCTTGCTCTGTCACCAGGCTGGAGTGCAGTGGCTTGATCTCGGTTCACTGCAATCTCCACCTCCCAGGTTCAAGTGATTCTCCTACCTCAGCCTCCCAGGTAGCTGGGACTACAGGCAGACACCACCACGCCCAGCTAAGTTTTTGTATTTTAGTAGAGATGGGTTTCACCACGTTGGCCAGAATGGTCTCAGTCTCCTGACCTTGTAATCCTCCCACCTTGACCTGCCAAACTGATGGGGTTACAGGCATGAGCCACCGTGCCTGGCCAAAATCAACTTTAAATTTACATGTTTAAAGTTTAAATATTAAACACTCTCTCACACATAGTTTACAGGAGTAAGTCTAATTCCCATGAATCCTTCCTTTTTAAAGCAATGAAGTAAAGAATTTTTCAGCTTACCATTTCAACTTCTAATATGTATGCAGGGTCCTAGAGGTTGACACTGAGGGGAACTTGCTAGAATCAGTTCTATTTCAGAAGGCTCTGTTGAGCCCCTACTATGTGCAGACCCAAGGCCACTGGGGACACAGGGCCATCTTTTTTCACAGTCGGGCAGAGGGGACAGGTAAATTCCATCAAAGGTCCCAAAAAAACACAGTCATTTAAATATACAGTGCTAAACAAGCCAATAAAAATTAAGTAAATAAAGTATTACACTTCCCGCCCAAACTTCAGGTGATCCTCCTGCCAGTTTATAGTAGACATACACAGGGTCACCTTTTGTAAAATTCACAAAACTACAATTCAGGCCTGTGAAATCTAGAGGTTCACCCCAGTACATTAACACTGTATAAAAAGAGAGAGAAAAAATAGCCAGATTATCAAGATTCAATGTTCACAGTCCATATTGATTTATCAGAAAATAAAAGAATCCCAATATAAATAACAACCAAGTTTTTCCAGTACTCTGGAATTTCTTTTATTTGCTCAAAGTATCTCAAATCCTTAGAGCTTTACTGCTGTAAATCATATTTTCTGCAAGTAGACAGAGGAAAGGAAAATCTTTTCTATTTTTCTCTGTGGATAATACCGAGAAACAAAAAGCAATGTGTCAACTACCACACATGGCTTTTCTTATCCAAGGGAAACTCTTGATTCCCTCTCTAACTTTCCAGTTCCTCAATCTTTTCTGTTTCATATTCATAAAAAGCTTCCTTTTGCAAATTGGTAAGTGCAAGCCCAGATGATGACTAGCTTAACATGGCTACATGAAGAGGTAATAGGGAACCAGAGTACTTAGGAACTCCCAAGGGGCCAATTAACTTGAACTAACCAGTAAAAGTCTCTACCTTCAAGTGGCTGTAATCGCTACTAGGTAGCAGTAAACACTGTCAATTCCACTGGCAGCCAAGTTGTTCTCTTTGTACAGTGTCTGGATAGATTAATGGAAATGTATATCTATCACACCCTACTATAGATTCAATTACATCACAAGACAATATTTTCTGAAAGTAAATAATGTTGACTGTATCTAACATTAAAAAAATTTAAAAACAAAGAAAAATACCCTTATGTATATGCTTCTATAAACAAAATCAAAATCGACATCTCATGTGGCCAGGTCTAAGCAAACTATGAGAATAGGTCAGTAATTCGCTTCATGCTTAAAATGCATGCTTAAATCATGCTTGATCTAAAAACTGTAAAGCAGTACTTCTCTTTCTGTGGACACATAAACAGTTTACCATGTAAGACGAAATGGACAATAAATATATTTAAATAGCAGAGACAACGAAGGAACGTGGAAATAAGACTTTTTCCAAAAGGCAATTTGCAATAAAATACATTTAAAACGTGTCTCTAAATGGCTATACAAACATATAGATTTGGAGGGAGTCATTTCTTTTTTTGAAGCTAGACTCTGATTATTTTCCAACATGTCAACTTTGGAGTTCAGACATTACTGAGTGAGAGGCCAGGTTTAAGGCGATGGGCAATTTAAGACTGGGAAGAAGCTCAAAATTGGAAATGGCAGTGCTTTTCTTGCTCTCCCTTAGAATAGATCAGAGGATTTATAATAACATCAGAGGCCAACAAAAAAGTGGAACAGCTATTTGAAAAGCACACAAGGATACAGTACACACTTATATTACAAAACACTTTATACAACACAACTAAGACCCATCCAGAAGTTGCTCCTGTTGATGCCTGTTATATTTGTTTTCCTCTGCTTGAACACACACCATTTCTCAAGTTATGTTACAACCGTGAACTCTTCTAACATCAGGCCTCAGGACTGAAAAAGCATCACTGATGTGATGATTCTCCAGGTAACCTGTTTTGATGAACCCAGGTGGGGCCATGCTTGCAAGCAAAGAATACCAACTATCTTGCCATCACCAACAGCAAATGGATGACAGCTTGGTTTTGCTCCAAGAAAACTAAAGGGAAAAATCATGGCAGTTGTTCTGACATCAACCACAGGGTTACCTCTAGGAATGGCTTCACGCTCATTAGAGATCTCTTTTCTTGATGAGTGTTGTAGAGATACAGACAGTTCAAATTAAGAAATTTGGTTTTGATAACAAAATTGAATATAAATAGCTAAACTATAGGTTCTTGGCCTTTCTAAAATGAATTCTTTTCTATAGGCAATGCTTAACAAAGTATGAAAACCCATTTCTGCAGTGGCTGTAAGTTACAAGGTTGTTTGAGACCAGCTGAAAGGCTCTAAGAATGATCCTGGTTTGGGGAACACATAGAGAAGAGATTTCAACACACAAGTGGCTAAGTCTAAACCAACCTTGGCTTTTGAGACCCTTGGGGTATTGATTATCATTCCTGAATTAACCCTCTTCACCTGAGCCTGAAGGCCTCCCCACCGCCAACCTCCAATCCCAGACTGGAGAGCAATCCAGCTTCCTGTGCACAGAAGAGGAGGCTGCCGGTCCCAGGTGGCCAGTGCAGATCCTCGGCCTTTCTGCAGAGCCAAAGCTTTTGACCTTCCTGCTGCCCTACCTAGCTGTCTGCAAAAAGGCTTCCAAGCACAGAAATGACAGGATGGATCAAAGTCAGGGTAGAGACCTCAGAATACAATGAGTGCTTGGACTCCAGACTCATCCGAAACCTAAATCCCCAATTCCTGTTCAAAAGACAATATAAGCCCAAATCCCAATGAACCAAAAGGGCAAAGCAGCAGCCCCACAGAGCCTTTCCAGAGATGCCCCATCATCAACCTGCCACAGGGAAAGCGCCCACTGAGACCTCAGCACATCTGCCGGGGTACTGCACCCGCCAAGGTCCCCACAGCGCAAGCAAGAAAGCATTTGGCTGCAGTGTGGGGAGCCCAATCATGCCACACGCAACCACATCTACCCTCGGAGCTCAGGCGGTTGGGGGTTGGGGAAGGAATGCTGTGAGCTACTCCTGGGGAAACCAGGGACCACTGCAAGCAAACCCCCGTCTCAGCAGAGGAAAAATAAATTGCTGGCAACAAGTGGGAGGTGCAGCTCCAACAGTCAGTCCTGAGTGGCTGGGCGTGGGCAGAGCCAGAGAGGGCAGACACAGGGACCTGGAGCCAGCCCAACCCCGTGTTCCACCCGTCCCGCTTGCAACCCCCAAGCCGGCCCACTGGGCTGCGGAGCTCCAGCCCCTGCACAACCCGGGAGGCACCGCCATGGAGACCCCGGGCCCCTGGCCTTCCAGGCTCACTCTGCTGCATTCGTCGTCTGCACAGAGTTTGTCTTGCGAGAAGCGCTGGCCAGTGCTGGGGTCCGGCTGGCCTGGCACTTGCCACGGCGGCCTGAGCACGAGCAACCAGAAGAGCAGCCCAGGTGCCGCAGCCATATTGTGGTCACCTCGGGGAGCCGGTGATGTGGAGGAGTATGCCGGGGGCGGAGCACCCGGGGCGGGTGTGAAGCCAGGTGCCACTGAGGGGTGGCGCCTGGGAAGGTTTGAGCAGTTTCTGACTGACGCATCAGCAGGAGCTTTAAGAGGGATCTGGGGGACATCCAGGACGACTGAGGGAGACCTCCAGGAAGGGGACTGGCAGCCTAGCCCTCACCCTGAAGTCTTTTCCTCTGGTCGTTTCCTCTGGTCGCTGCCATGGCAACCAGAACTCTTGTTTGTTCTCCCACATCCAATCACCTGCGTTTGCCCCAGTGACTCCATTCATTGTTCACCCTTCTCTGTGTGCTTGCCTTTTGGCCTGGCTTTGCCTGGCCTTTTGGGTTGGCCTCAACTCTTGGCTTGGCCTTTTGGCCTGGCCTGGCCTTTTGGTCTGGCCATTTTGCCTGGCCTTTTGGCCTGACCTGGCCCCTTGGCCTGGTCTGGCCTGGCTTTGCCTTTTGGCCTGGTCTGGATTTGCCTTGTCTTTTGGCCTGGCCTTGCCTTTTGGCCTGGCCTTTTGGCCTGGCTTGGCCTCTTGGCCTGGCCTGACCTTTGGACTGGCTTTTTGTCCTATCCTGGCCTTTTGTCCTGGCCTGACATTTTCGCTTGACCTTTTGGCCTGTAATAGCCTTTTGGCCTGTCCTGGTCTTTTGGCCTGGCCTGGCCTGTCCTTGTTTCTTGGCTTGGCCTTTTGACCTGGCCTGACCTTTTGTTGGGTCTTGCCTTTTGACCTGGTCTGGCCTGGACTTGCTCTTCAGACTTGTCTGACCTTTTGGCTTGACCTTTAGGCCTGGCCTAGACTTTTGTCCTGGCCTATTGGACTCTCGTGGCCTTTTGTCCTGGCCTTTTGGTCTGGCCTGGCCTTTTGTCCTGGCCTTTTATCCTGGCCTGTCCTTTAGGTCTGGCCTGGCTTCACCATGCCTTTTGGCCTGGCCTATTGGCCTGGCCTGGCCTTTTGGCCTGGCCATTTTGTCTGGCCTTTTGGCCTGACCTGGCATTGCCTTTTGGCCTGGTCTGGACTTGCCTTGGCCTTTTGGCCTGGCCTGGCCTTTGGTCCTGGCCTGGCCTTTTGGCCTGGCCTTTTGGTCTGGCCTGGCCTTTTGTCCTGGTCTTTTATCCTGGCCTGTCCTTTAGGCCTGGCCTGGCCTCGCCGTGCCTTTTGGTCTGGGCCTTTTGGCCTGGCCTGACCTTTTGGCCTGTACTTTTGGCCTGACCTGGCCTTTCTGCCTGTCCTTTTGGCCTTTTGGTCTGGCCTGGCCTCGCTTTGCCTTTTGTCCTGGTCTGATCTTTTGGCCTCACATTTTGACCTGGCCTGGCCATTTCTCCTGGCCATTTTGCCTGGCCTTTTGGCCTGACCTGGCCTTTTGGCCTGGCCTGGACTTTAGGCCTGGCGTTTTGTCCTAGCCTGACCTTTTCACCTGGTCTTTTGGCCTGTCCTTGCCTTTTGGCCTGGCATTTTGACCTGGCCTGACCTTTTGTCCTGGTCTTGCCTTTTGGCCTGGTCTGGCCTGTCCTTGCCTCTTGGCCTGGCCTAGACTTTTGTCCTAGCCTTTTGGCGTGTCATGGCCTTTTATCCTGGCCTGGCCTTTTGTCCTGGCCTTTTATGCTGGCCTGGCCTGGCCTCGCCATGCCTTTTGGTCTGGGGCTTTTGGCCTGGACTGAAATTTTGACCTGGCCTTTTGGCCTGGCCTTTTGACCTGTACTGGACATTGGCCTGGCTTCAACTTTTGGCCTGGGCTTTCGGCCTGTCCTGGCCTTTTGGCCTGGCCTGGCCTTGCCTTTTGGCCTGGCCTGGGCTTTTGCTCTGGCCCGGACTCGACCTCTTGGCCTGTCCTTTTGGCCTGGCTTCTACTTTTGGCCTGGCCTGACCTCTTGGCCTGTCTTTTGGCCTGGGCTCTTCTTTTGGCCAGACCTTTTGGCCTGTCCTGGCCTTTTGGCCTGTCCTGGTCTTATGACTTGGCCTTTTGGCCTGGCCTGACCTTTTTGCCTGGCCTGACCTTTTCACCTGCTCTTTTGGCCTGTAATGGCCTTTTGGCCTTGCCTGGCCCTTTGGCCTGGCCATTCAGCATGTCCTGGCCTTTAGGCCTGGACTTTTGGCCGGGCCTGACCTTATTGCCTGGTCTTTTGATCTGGCCTTTTGGCCTGGCCTGGCCTGGCCTTGCCTCTTGGCCTGGCCTTTTGATCTGGGCTGACCTTTTGTCCTGGTCTTGCCTTTGGCCTGGACTGGCCTGGTCTTGCCTTTCAGACTTGCCTGACAATTTGGCCTGATATTTTGGCCTGGCCTAGACTTTTGTCCTGGCCTTTGGCATGTCATGGCCTTTTGCCCTGGCCTTTGTGTCTGTACTGGCCTTTTATCCTGGCCTTTTATCCTGGCCTGTCCGTGCCTTTAGGCCTGTCCTGGCCTCACCATGCCTTTGGTCTGGGCCTTTTGTCCTGGCCTGACTTTTCAGCCTGGCCTTTTGACATGGACTGGACATTTGGCCTGGCCTCACCTTTTGGCCTTGCCTTTCAGCCTGGCCTGGCCTTTTGGCCTGGCCTGGCCGTGCCTTTCAGGCTGACCTTTTTTTTGGCCTTTTGACCTTGCCTTTTGGCCTGGCCTGGGCTCTTGGCCTGTCCGTTTGGCTTGGTCTCTCCTTTTGGCCAGGACTTTTGGCCCGTCCTGGCCTTTTGGCCTTGCCTGTTGGCCTGGCCTGGCCTCTTGGCCTGGCCTTTTGGCCTGGTCTGGTCTGGCCTTGCCTTTTGGCCTGGCTTTTTGACCTGGCCTGACCTTTTGTCCTGGTCTTGCCTTCGGACTGGCCTGGGCTTTTGGCCTTGCCATTTGGCCTGTCCTGGCCTGGGGTCCTGGTCTGGCCTGTCCTTGCCTTTTGGCCTGGCCTTTTCACCTGGCCTGATCTTTTGGCATGGCCATTTGTCCTGGTCTTGCCTTTTGTCATGGCCTGGCCTTTTAGCCTGGCTGGACTCGCCTTGTCTTTCAGCCTGTCTTGGCCTTTTGGCTTGGCCTTTTGTCCTGGCTTTCTGAACTGGCCTGGCTTTTGTCCTGGCCTTTGGTCCTGGCCTGTCCTTTTGGCCTGGCCTGGCCTCGCCGTGACTTTTGGTTTGGGCCTTTTGGCCTGGCCTGACCTTTTGGCCTGGCTGGGCCTTTTGGCCTGTCCTGGCCTTTTGGCCTGGTCTTTTGGCCTGGCCTGACCTTTTCACCTAGGCTTTTGGCATGGCCTGGCATTTTGGCATGGCCTTTTGGCCTGGCCTAGGCTTTTGGCCTGTCCTGGCCTTTTGGCCTGGACTGACCTTTTCGCCTGGCCTTTTTGTCTTGCCTCTGGACCTGCCCTGGCCTTTTGGCCTGGGCTTTTGGCCTGTTCTGGCCTGTCCTTTCCGTTTGGCCAGGCCTTTTGACCTGGCCTAACCTTTTGTCCTGGTCTTGACTTTTGGCCTGGTCTGGCCTGTCCTTGCCTTTGGGACTGGCCTAGACTTTTGGCCTGGCTTGGCCTTTTTGCCTGGCCTTTTGTCCCAGCCTGTCCTGTCCTTTCCTTTTGGCCTGGCCTGACATTTTTGCTTGGCCTTTTGTCCTGTTCCTGCCTTTTGGCATGGCCTGGCCTTTTGGCCTGTCCTGGTTTTTTGGCCTGCCCTGACCTTTTCACCTGGCCTTTTGGCCTCGCCTGGGTTTTGGCCTGGCCTGGCCTTTTGGCCTTGCCTTTTGGTCTGTCCTGGCCTTTTGTTCTGACCTTTTGGCCTGGCCTGACCTTTTCCCTTGGCCTTTTGGCCCTGCCATTTGGCCTCTCCTGGTCTTTTGTCCTGGCCTTTTTGCCTGGTCTGGCTTCTCCTTGCCTTTTGGCCTGGCCTTTTGACCTAGCTTGGCCTTTTGTCCTGGTCTTACCTTTTGCCCTGGTCTTACCTTTTGCCCACGCCTTTTCACCTGGACTTTTGGCCTGTAATTGCCTTTTGGCCTGGACTTTGGGCCTGTAATGGCCTTTAGGCCTGGACTTTTGGCCGGGCCTGACCTTTTCGTCTGGTCTTTTGGCCTGTCCTGGCCTTTTGGCCTAGCCTGGCCTGTCCTTGCCTCTTGGCCTGGCCTTTTGACCTGGCCTGACTTTTTGTCCTGGTCTTGCCTTTGGCCGGGGCTGGCTTGGCCTTTCAGACTTGCCTGACATTTTGGCCCTACCTTTTGGCCTGGCTTAGACTTTTGTCCTGTCATTGCCTTTGATCCTGGCCTTTGAGTCTGTCCTGGCCTTTTATCCTGGCCTTTCCTTTAGGCCTGGACTGGCCTCGCCGTGCCTTTTGGTCTGGGCTTTTTGGCCTGGCCTGAACTTTTGGCCTGGCCTTTTGGCCTGGCCTTATGACCTGGACTGGACATTTGGCCTGGCCTCAACTTTTGGCCTGGCCTTTCAGCCTGGCCTGGCCTTTCCTTTCGGCCTGGCCTTTTGGCTTTGCCCTTTAGCCTGGCCTGGACTCTTGGCCTGGTCCGGCCTCTTGGCCTGTCCTTTTGGCCTGGGCTTTCCTTTTGGCCAGGATTTTTGGCCTGTCGTGGCCTTTTGGTCTTGCCTTTTGGCCTAGCCTTTTGACCTCGCCTGACATTTTGTCCTGGTCTTGCCTTTTGGTCTGTCCTGGCCTTTTGGCCTGGGCTGGCCTGGTCTTGCCTTTCAGACTGCCCTGTCCTTTTGGCCTGGCCTTTTTGCCTGGCTTGGCTTTTCGTTCTGGCCTAGCCTGTCCTTGCCTTTTGGCCTGGCCTTTTGACCTGGCCTAACATTTTGGCTGGGCCGTTTGGCCAGGCCTGGCCTGTCCTTGCCTTTAGGTCTGGCTTAACATTTTGGCATGGCCTTTTAGCCTGTCCTGGCCTTTTTTTCTGGCTTTCTGATCTGGCCTGGCCAGTTTTCCTGGGTTTTTGCCCTGTCCTGTCCTTTTCGCCTGGCCTGGCCTCGCCATGCCTTTTAGTCTGGGCCCTTAGGCCTGGCCTGGCCTTTTGGCATGACCTGACCATTTCTCCTGGTCTTTTGGCCTGGCCTGAACTTTAGGCCTGGCCTTTTGGCCTGGCCTGGCCTTATGGCCTTGTCTTTGGGCCTGGCCTGACATTTTCAACTGGCCTTTTAGCATTGCCTTTGGGCCTATCCTGGTCTTTTGGCCTGGCCTTCTGGCCTGGCCTGGCCTGTCCTTTCCCTTTGGCCTGGCCTTTTGAACTGGCCTTACCTTTTGTCCTAGTCTTGCCTTTTGGCCTGGCCTGGCCTGTCGTTGCCTTTCAGACTGCCCTGGATTTTTGGCCTTGCCTTTTGTCCTGCCCTGGCCTTTTGTCCTTGCCTGGCCTATCCTTATCTTTTGGCCTAGCATTTTGACCTGGCCTGACGTTTTGGCCTGCCCTTGTGTTCTGATCTTGCCTTTAGGCATGGCCTGGACTTTTGGCCTTTCCTGGCCTTTTGCCCTGGACTTTTGGCCTGGCCTGGCCTTTTGTCCTGGGCTTTTGGCCTCACCTGGCCTTTTGTCCTGGCCTTTAGTCCTGGCTGGTCCTTTTGCCCTGGCCTGGCCTTGCCATGCCTTTTGATCTGGGCCTTTTGGCCTGACTTGATCTTTTGGCCTGGCCGGGCCTTGCCTTTTGGCAATATTTTCTGAAAGTAAATAATGTTTACTGAATCTAACATTAAGAAAGTTTCAAAACAAAGAAAAGTACCCTTATGTATATGTTTCTATAAATACAATCAAAAGTCGATATCTCACGTGGCCAGGACTAAGCAAACTATGATAACACGTCAGTAATTCCCTTCGTGCTTAAAATGCATGCTTATATCATGATTGACCTAGAAACTTAAAGCAGTATTTTTCTTTCTGTAGCCACATAAACAGTTTCCAAAGTAAGATGAAATGGAAAATAAATATATTTAAATAGCAGAGACAACGAAGGAAAATGGAAATAAGACTTTTTCCAAAAGCCAATTTGAAATAAAATACATTTCAAACGTGTCTCTAAATGGCTAAACAAACATATAGATATGGACGGAGTCATTTGTTTTTTGAAGCTAGACTCTGATTATTTTCCAAAATGTCAACTTTGGAGTTCAGACATTACTGAGTGAGAGGCCAGGTTTAAGGTGACGGACAATTTAAGATTGGGAAGAAGATCAAAATTGGAAATGGCAGTGTTTTTCTGGCTCCCCCTTAGAATAGATCACAGAGGATTTATAATAACATCAGAGGCCAACATAAAAGTGGAACAGCTATTTGAAAAGCACACAAGGACACTGTACACACTCATATTACAAAACGCTTTATACAACACAGGCCCATCCAGACGTTGCTCCTGTTGATGCCTGTTATATTTGGTTTCCTCTGCATGAACACACACCATTTCTCAAGTTATGTTACAACCGTGAGCTCTTCTAACATCAGGCCTCAGGACTGAAGAAGCATCACTGATGTGACAATTCTCCAGGTAACCTGTTTTGATGAACCCAGGTGGGGCCATGCTTGCAAGCAAAGAATACCAACTATCTTGCCGTCACCAACAGTAAATGGATAACAGCCCGGTTTTGCTCCAAGAAAACTAAAGGGAAAAACCATGGCAGTTGTTCTGCTTTTGACAGCTTATTGACATCAACCAGAGGGTTACCTCTAGGAATGGGTTCACACTCATTAGGGATCTCTTCTTGGTGAGTGTTGTAGAGATACAGACAGTTCAAATTATGAAATTTGGTTTTGATAACAAATTTGAATATAAATGGCTAAACTATAGGGTTCTTGGCCTTTCTAAAATGAATACTTTTCTATAGTCATTGCTAAACAAAGTATGAAAACCCATTTCTGCAGTGACTATAAGTTACAAGGTTGTTTGAGACCAGCTGAAAGGCTCTAAGAATGATCCTGGTTCGGGGAACACATAGAGAAGAGGTTTCAACACACAAGTGGCTAAGTGTAAACCAATCTTGGCTTTTGAGACCCTTGGGCTATTTATCATCGTTCCCGTAATAACCATCTTCATCTGAGGCTGAAGATCTCCCCACCGCCCACCTCCAATCCCGGACTGGAGAGCAATCCCGCTTTCTGCGCACAGAAGAGGAGGCTGCCGGTCCCAGGTGGCCGGTGCAGATCCTCGGCCTCTTTGCAGAGCCAAAGCTTTTGGCCTTCCTGCTGCCCTCCTTAGCATTCTGCAAAAAGGCTTCCAAGCACAGAAATGACAGGATGGATCAAAGTCAGGGTAGAGACCTCGGAATACAATGAGTGCTTGGATCCCAGACTCGTCCCAAACCTAAACTCCCAATTCCTGTTCAAAAGGCGGTATGAGCCCAAATCCCAATGAAGCAAAAGGGCAAAGCGGCAGCCCCAGAGATCCTTTCCAGAGACGCCCCATCATCAACCTGCCACAGGGAAAGCTCCCACTGAGACCTCAGCACATCTGCTGGGGTACTGCACCCGCCGAGGTCCCCGCGGCACAAGGAAGAAAGCATTTGGCTGCGGTGTGGGGAGCCCAGTCATGCCACATGCAACCACATCTACCCTCGGAGGTCAGGCGGTTGGGGGGAGGGGAAGGAATGCTGTGAGCTACTCCTGGGGAAACCAGGGACCACTGCAAGAAAGCCCCCGTCTCAGCAGAGGAAAAATAAATTGCTGGCAACAAGTGGGAGGTGCAGCCCCCACAGTCAGGCCCGAAAGGCTGGGTGCGGGCAGAGCCAGAGAGGGCAGACACAGGGACCCAGAGCCTGCCCACCCCCGCGTCCCACCTGCCCCGCTTTCCACCCCCATGCCGGCCCACTGGGCTGCCGAGCTCCAGCCCCCGCACAACCCGGGTGGCACCGCCGTGGAGACCCCGGGCCCCTGGCCTTCCCGGCTCACTCACGGCTGCGTTCGTCATCTGCACAGAGTTTGTCTTCTGCGAAGCGCCGGCCAGTGCTGGGGTCTGGCTGGCCTGGCACTCGCCACAGCGGCCCGAGCACGAGCAGCCAGAAGAGCAGCCCAGGCGCCGCAGCCATGTTGTGATCACCTCGGGCAGCCGGTGATGCAGAGGAGGAAGCGGGAGAGGGAGCGCCAGGGGCGGGTGGGAAGCCAGGTGCCACTGAGGCGCTGCGCCCGGGAAGGTTTGAGCAGTTCCCGACTGACACGTCAGCAGGGGCTTTAAGAAGGATGCAGGGTACGTCCAGGAGGATTGAGGGAGACCTCCAGGAAGGAGGCTGGCAGCCTAGTCCTCGCCCCGAAGTCTTTTCCTCTGGTCGTTTCCTCTGGTCGCTGCTGTGGCAACCAGAACTCTTGTTTGTTCTCCCACATCCAATCACCAGCCTTTGCCCCAGTGACTCTACTCGTTGTTCACCCTTCTCTGCATGCTTGCCTTTTGGCCTGGCCTCTTGGCCTGGTCTGACATTTTGGACTTGCCATTTGGCCTGTCCTGGCCTTTTGTCCTGGCCTGACCTTTTGGCCTGGTCTGGCCTTGTCTTTCCTTTTTGCTTGCCTTTTGACCTCACCTGCCGTTTTGGCTTCGCCTTTTGTCCTGTTCTTGTCTTTTGGCATGGCCTAGCCTTTTCACCTGGACTTTTGGCCTGGCCTAGCCTTTTGACCTGGTGTTTTTGCCTGTCCTGGCCTTTTTTCCTGACTCTTTGGCCTGGCCTGACCTTTTCTCCTGGCCTTGTGTCCTGGCCTTTTGGCCTGGCATGGCCTCTCCTTGCCTTTTGTCCTGGCCTTTTGTACTGGCTTGACCTTTTGTCCTGGTCTTGCCTTTATTCCTGGCCCGGACTTTTGCCCAGGCCTTTTCACCTGGCCTTTTGGCCTGTAATGGCTTTTTGGCCTGGCCTTTTGGTCTGTTAGGCCTGGACTTTTGGCTGGGCCTGACCTTTCTGCCTGGCCTTTTTGCCTCGTCTTTTGGCCTGTCCTGGCCTTTTGGCCTATCCTTTTGGCCTAACCTGGCCTTGCCTTGCCTCTTGGCCTGGCCTTTTGACCTGGCCTGACCTTTTGTCCTGGTCTTGCCTTTGGCCTGGCCTGGCCTTACCTTGCCTGGCCTTGCCTTTCAGACTTGCCTGAACTTTTGGCCCTACCTTTTGGCCTGGCCCAGACTTTTGTCCTGGCCTTTTGGTCTGTCCTGGCCTTTTGTCCCAGCTCTTTATCCTGGCCTTTCCTTTAGGCCTGGCCTGGCTTCGCCATGCCTTTTGGTCTGGGCCTTTTGGCCTGGCCTGACCTTGACTTTTGGCCTGGCCTTTTGCCTTTGCCTTTTAGCCTGGCCTGGACTCTTGGCCTGGCCCAGCTTCTTGGCCTGGCCTTTTGGTCTGGCTTGTACTTTTGGCCTGCCCTGGCCTCTTAGCCTGTCCTTTTGGCCTGGGCTCTCCTTTTGGCCAGGACTTTTGGCCTGTCATGGCCTTTTGTCCTGGTCTTGCCTTTTGGTCTGTCCTGGCCTTTTGGCCTGGGCTGGCCTGGCCTTGCCTTTCAAAATGGCCTGGCCTTTTGGCCTTGCCATTTCACCCGTCCTGTCCTTTTGGCCTGCTCTTTTGGCCTGGCCTAGCCTGGCCTTTCATCCTTGCCTGGCCTGTCCTTGCCTTTTGGCCTGGCCTTTCGACCTAGCCTGAGCTTTTGGCCTGGCCTATTGTCCTGGTCTAACCTGGCCTTGCCTTTCGGGCTGGCTTGACCTTTTGGTCTGGGCTTTTGGCCTGGCCTGGACTTTTATCCTGGCGTTTGGCCTGTCCTGGCCTTTCGTCTTGGCTTTCTGACCTGGCGTGGCCATTTTTCTTGGGCTTTTGCCTTGTCTTGTCCTTTTGGCCTGGCCTGGCCTCACTGTGCCTTTTGGTCTGGACCTTTTGGCCTGACCTGACCTTTTCACCTGGCCTTTTGGCCTTGCCTTTTGGCCTATCCTGGCCTTTTGACCTGGCCTGGCCTCAATGTGCCTTTTGGTCTGGGCCTTTTGTCCTGGCCGGGTCTTTTCACCTGGCCTTTCCTTTTGACCTGGCCTGACCTTCTGTCCTGGTCTTGCCTTTTGGCCTGTCCTGACCTGTCCTTGCCTTTCGGACTGGTCTGGCCTTTTGACCTGGCCTGGCCTCTCCTTGCCTTTTGGTCTGACCTTTTGACCTGTCCTGACCTTTTCTCCTGGTCTTGCCTTTTGGCCTGGCCTTTTGGCCTGTAATGGCCTTTAGGCCTGGACTTTTGGCAGGGCCTGACCTTTTTACCTGGCCTTTTGGCCTGTCCTGGCCTTTTGTCCTGACCTTTGGCCGAGCCGGGCCTGTACTTGCCTCTTGGCCTGGCCTTTTGACCTGGCCTGACCTTTAAACCTGGTCTTGCCTTTAGCCTGGCCTGGCCTTGCCTTTCAGAATTGCCTGGCCTTTTGGCCTGCCCTAGACTTTTGTCCTGGCCTTTTGTTCTGTCATGGCCTTTTATCCTGGCCTTCTGTCTGGCCTGGCCTTTTTTCCCGGCCTTTTATCCTGACCTTTCCTTTAGGCCTGGTCTGGCCTCGCCGTGCCTTTTGGCCTGGGCCTTTTGGCCAGGCCTGACCTTTTTGCCTGGCCTTTTGTCCTGGATTGGACATTTGGCCTGGCCTTACCTTTTGGCCTTGTCTTTCGGCCTGGCCTAGCCTTTCCTTTCTGCCTGGCCTTTTGGCTTTCCCTTTTGGCCTGGCCTGGCCTCTTGGCCAGACCTTTTGACTTGGCCTGGCTTTTTGGGGAGGCTTAAACTTTTGGCCTGGACTTTTGGCCTGGCCTGACCTTTTCACCTGGGTTTTTGGACTAGCCTTTTGGACTGTCCTGGCCTTTTGGCCTGTCCTGGCCTGTCCATGCCTTTTGGCCTGGCCAGACCTTTTGGCCTGGCCTTTTGTCCTTGTCCTGCTTTTTGGAATGGTCAGGCCTGGCCTTGCCTTTCGGCCTGTCTTGAACTTTTGGCCTGGCCTTATGTCCTGGCCTGTACTTTTTTCCTGGCCTTTGGCCTGTCCTGGCCTTCTGTCCTGGCTTTCTGACCTGGCCTGGCCTTTTGATCTGGCCTGCCCTTGCATTTTGGCCTGGCCTTTTGTCCTGGTCTTGCCTTTTGGGATGGCCTGGCATTTTGGTCGGGCCTGTACTTTTGTCCTGGCATTTGGCCTGTCCTGGCCTTTCCTCCTGGCTTTCTGACCTGGCCTGGCCTTTTGTCCTGGTCTTTTGTCCTGGCCAGTCCTTTTGGTCTGGCCTGGCCTCGCTGTGCCTTTTGGTCTGGGGCTTTTGGCCTGGGCTGAACTTTTGGCCTGGCCGGGCCTGAGCTTTGCACCTGGCATTTTGGCCTGGCCTAGCCTTCTGGCCTGGCCTTTTGGCCTGGCCTTGTGACCTGTCTTGGCCTTTCAGCCTGGCCTGACCATTTCGCCTGGCATTTTGGCTTTGGCTTTGGGCCTGTTCTGGACTTTTGGCCTGGACTTTTGGCCTGGTCTGGCCTGGACTTTAGCCTGGCCTTTTGACCTGGCCTGAACTTTTGTCCTAGTCTTGACTTTTGGCCTGACCTGGTCTTGCATTTGGCCCGGCTTGACTGTTTCGACTGGCCTTTTGGCCTGACCTTGCCTTTCGAACTGGCCTGGCTTGTAGTCCTTGCCATGTGGCCTGTCCTGGCCTTCTGGCTTGGTCTGGCCTTTTAGCTTGGCAAAGCCTGCCCTTGCCTTTTGGCTTGGCCTTTTGACCTGGCCTGACCTTTTTGCTTGGCCTTTTGTCCTGGTCTTACCTTTTGAGATGGTCTGGCCCTGCCTTTTGACCTGTCTTGACCTTTTGGCCTGGTCTGTACTTTTTTCCTGGCATTTGGCCTGTTCTGGCCTTTTGTCCTGGCTTTCTGACCTGGCCTGGCCTCTTGTCCTGGCCTGTCCTTTTGGTTTGGCGTGGCCTCACTGTGACTTTTGGTATGGGCCTTTTGGCCTGCCCTGACCTTTTTGCCTGGTCTTTTGGCCTTGCCTTTTGGCCTGGCCTTTTGGCCGGTCCTGGCCTGCCCTTGCCTTTCAGCCTGTCTGACCTTTTGGCCTGGCTGTCTGTCCTGGCCTGGCCTTTTGATCTGGCCTTTTGTCCTGGCCTTTTGGCCTGGCCTGAACTGTCCTTGCCTTTTCGCCTGACGTTTTGACCTGGCCTGACTTTTTGGCCTGGCCTTTTGTCCTGTTCTTGCCTTTTGGCATGGCCTGGCCTTTGGACCTTCCCTGGCCTCTCGACCTGGCCTGACATTTTTGCCTGGTGTTTTGGCCTGGCCTGACCTTTTGTCCCAGACTTGCCTTTTGACCTGGCCTTGCCTTTCGGCCTGTCTGACCTTTTGTCCTGGCTTTCTGACCTGGCCTGGCCTTTTGATCTGGCCTTTTGTCCTGGTCTGTCCTGTTGGTCTGGCCTGGTCTCGCCATGCCTTTTGGTCTGGGGCTCTTTTCCTGGCCTGATGTTTTGGCCTGGCCCTTTTGCCTGGCCTGGCCTGATCTTTTCGCCTGGCCTTTTGGCCTGGCCTGGTCTTTTGGCCTTTCCTTTTGGCCTGGCCTGGCCTTATGGCCTGGCCTTTTGGCTTGGCCTGACCTATTCGGCTGAACTTCTGGCCTTGCCTTTTGGCCTGTCCTGGCCTTTTGGCCTGGAAAAGCAGTGAAATACAGCATCTAGCCACTGCCTGGCTCAACCATGCTATCTTGGGACGGAAACCTTGAAAGGAATCCCAGCTCCAGCCAAGGAAAACATCAGTCAGGTCTGGCTAAGCCGCGTGGCTTCCCTCTCTCCACCTTCCATCTCCACGTCCCCAACTCCACAGCCATTAAGCTGTTTGGGTAACCCCAAGATCCCACTCCCACAGCCTACGGCCAGCAAAGGCATGAAGGCAGGATTCTAGAACCTTGGCCAGGCTGGTCGTTGCTGCCTTTGAAAGTGTGGGAGGTGTGAGGCTCCAGCTCCAGCCCTCCTCAAAGGAGACAGGAGCATTCCCTGTGGCTGTCCTGCCTTCCACCTACCCTGGCCTTCTCTGGACAGGGTTCCCTTTTTGGGCACTGTGATTGCTCTCAAAGGCAGAGCCCATCCCAGTCAGGAGTGGCACAAGTTTCTTATCCTACTTATAGTGGAAGGCATTTCCTGACTCCTCTTGCCAGCCTATCCAGGGCCTTCTGTTCTTCTGCAGGTCTCAACTCAGGCTGAAATGTTGATATTTCCTCATGTTTGGGGACGCTGCTCCTGCTGGACTTTGTGGAAAAACCTTTCCTGCCTTTGTGTGGCTTCTGTTTTTATTTATTTATTTATTTATTTATTTATTTAGAAACAGAGTCTTGCCCTGTTGCCCAGGCTGGAGTGCAGTGCTGTGAGCCCAGGCTGGAGTGCAGTGCTGTGATCTCAGCTCACTGCAGCCTTTGCCTCCGAGGTTCAAGTAATTTGGCCTCAGCCTCCCGAGTATCTGTGACCACAGGTGCCCGCCACTACGCCCAGGTTTTTTAGTAGAGACGGGGTTTCACCATATTGGCCAGGCTGGTCTTGAACTCCTGACCTCAAGTTATCCACCCACCTTGGCCTCCCAAAGTGCTGGGATTACACTGATTACAGGCGTGAGCCACTGCACCCAGCTGGGGCTTCTGTTTTAAAAGTTTCTTCATTCTCTTTTCTCCAGAGGAAGAGCCCCAGCATCTCACACACGGGGACCTCAGAGTCCCTTGTTTTGTATACTCTAAAACAGTGTTGTCCAACAAAAACATACAGCCAGCCATAAACTTGTCATCTATGCAATCTAGTGTTTTCTAATCACCGTATTTTGTAAGAATTTTTTTTAAAAAGTGAGATTCCTTTCAATACTATATTTTATTTAACCCAATATATTTATATTAACCCAAATTATTATCAAATCAATCATTTAATTCATATAAAAATTATTGTGAAATTTCACATTGTTTTTCCATACTAAGTGTATTGGTTCCTACGGCTGCTGTAATGATCACAAACTGGGTGGCTTCAAACAAGACACACATATTGTCCCACAGTTCTGGAGACCAAAAGTCAGGAATCATGGTGTCAGCTGAGCCTTGCTCCCTCTGAAGGCTCCAGGGAAAGTGAAAGCAAAGTAAAAACTTGGGAGCCCAGGCCGGGCATGGTGGCTCACACCTGTAATCCCATTTGGGAAGCCAAGGCAGGGGGATTGCTTGAGTTCAGGAATTCAAGACCAGACTGGGCAACATAGTGAAACGCCTTCTCTATGAAAAATACAAAAATTAGCCAGATGTGGTGGTATGCATCTGTGGTCCCAGTTACTCAGGAGGCTGAGGTAGGGGGATCGCCTGAGCCCAGAAGGTTGAGACTGCAGTGAGCTGAGATTGTATCACTGCACTCCAGCCTGGTGACAGAGTGAGATAAGAAAGAAGAAAAGAAAGGGAAGAAAGGGAGGAAAAGAAGGGAAAGAAAGGAGAGAGAGAGAAGAATGAAAGAAAATGAAGAAAGAAAGAAAGGAAAGAAAAACTTGGGACCCCAATTCACTCTGCCAGAAGAAAAAAATATTAAGCTGAAAGCTGAGTCATACGAGAAACAGTCTTTTTTCCTTTTTTCTCCTGAGCAAATAGCTACAGATAAAAAGTAAAACATCTCTACAGTAGTTACTCTATGTTCCCCTTATCTTATGGTGAGCTCCAGAGGAATACATAATTGATCATTCCCCTCCTACTTTTCTCTTGCAACATATGGATTCAGTTATGCGACCTCTTTCCCCTCGAGGCTGCTTTTCTCCTTTAAATATTGACATCCTCAGAATCACCTTTGGAGAAAGGCACAGACCTGTCTCCTGCATGTGTGTCCTTGACTTTGGCAAAACAAACCTTTACACTGATTGAGACCTGATTCAGATACTTTTTGGCTCGCAGGAAGGCGTTCTCCATGCTTCCCCCACCCTTGGGTTGATCCCTGGCTTTCCCAGGCTTGTAGCTGCTTTATCCCCATCTCTGCCTTCACCACCACATGGCTTTCTTCCTCCCGCATGTGTCTGTGTCTTTATATGCCCTTGGAGAACAGTCACTGCATTTATAAACAGCCAAATCCAGTAAAATCTTATCTAGTTATATCGGCCAAGACCCTATTTCCAAATAAAGTCAAATGCTGAGCTTCCAGGTGGACATGAGTTTTAGAGGGACACTATTCAACCTGGTACACTGTTCGATGTAGTGCCCACTCACCCACCTGATATTTGGCTCCCAAGATCCTGTTTCTGTCAGCTGTTTTTTTGTTGTCTTTGTTCTTTATTTTCATTCTGGCAGGTCTTGGGGTAGGGTCAATGGTAAAACAAAACTGGGGAGATTAATTTTAATGTCACTTATTTGACCCAATAGATCAATTATTTCAATATGCAATCCATATAGAAAATTATTAATGAAATAGCCTTCATTCTTTTTTTTCCACACCAAATCTTCAGAATTTTATATGTATTTGACCCTTAGAACATATTCCAATTCAGTTTGGCCACATTTCAAGTGCTCAACGGCCACATGGGGCCAGTGGCCACCATATTGGACAGCACAGCTTAGGAAGTTAGAAAAAAGGGGTGAGGCCTCTGGTGATGCCAAGGACACCGCTGGGGAGGCCAGTGGATCCTAAGAAATGATATTCATCTGATGGTCTCACCCCGTCCAGGTTCTTTTCTGATTGTATTTCACCTGTGAGAGGTGGTCTCATGGTGATGAAGGAGGAATTAATGCCACATCAGCTCACACTGTGTCAAACTGGTGGTTGATAAGGTTTGGTATGGTTTGGCTGTGTCCCCACCCAAATCTCATCTTTAATTGTAACTCCCACAATTCCCACGTGTCATGGGAGGAACTTGACGGGAGGTGATTGAATATGGGGGCGGTTCTTTCCTGCACTGTTCTCATGGTAGTGAATCTCACAAGATCTAATGGTTTTAAAAAGGAGAGTTTCCCTGCACAAGCTCTCTCCTTGCTTGCCACCATCCACATAAGATGTAGCCTGTTCCTCCTTGCCTTCCACCATGATTGTGAGGCTTCCACAGTCATGTGGAACTGTAAGTCCAGTAAACTTCTTTCCTTTGTAAATTGCCCCATCTCAGGTATGTCTTTATCAGCAGCCTGAAAACAGACTAACACAGTGGATTTGTTCATTTACAAGAAAAAAGGTGAGCAGCTGGCTGCTCTCTTGTCCCTTTTCAGTAGGCACAATGCTTAAGGAGCCAGGCCTGTGCTTCTGGGCTGAAAGCCAGGGCCTGTCCTTACTGATTGCAAATGATTGAAAATCTCAGGCTACAACAGTAGGAGGCATGCACCTCCCCAACAGAGACATGCCATTGCCAGTGGGAATGGTGGACTCTCTGTCCCCAAGCAGTATGGGATGGGTGTGGCCATGTGCCTAGGACTGGCTCTGCTGATCTGACCTCTTCTGACTGGCATCTTTTCCTTTAGCTATGCAGGCCTTACTGGCTTGGGGCCCAGTCTCTCTCTTTTTAGCATGGCTTGGCCTCTGTCTGCTTTGATTTCTATGTGTCAATTTTATGGTCAAACTCCCAAAGAACAACCTCATTCCTCTAGGGAATGGGGTCCCTCAGTTTGCTCCCTTGAAATACCTCCAATTCTTTATTCTCCTGGACCCTGTTCTACAGCCTCTGTGTTTTTCTAGGAAAATTGGAAATAACCAGAACCCAGACCTGGAAGCTAGACCCCAGACATAGTTCATTCACCTCTCTGGCTCTGAAGCCTGCTCAGGATGTGCACACTGGGGAGTGGAGCACCGTCTCTATGGGCCCGCCTGTCCTCAGGTCCCATAACAGACAGTGGTCCTGAGCTGGGACAGCAGGATGACAAAGTATCACAGGTGCACTCTGAAGCAAAAATATCACTGAATGGAAATTGAAGTAGAAAGAAAAAGAGAAGGAGTACAGATGATGAGGAATCTCTGATGTTAATTCAGGGGTACCACCAATCCCCTAAAGCTACAAATGACATGAATCAATCCGTCTCTCTGTCTCTGCCTCTCTCCCTCTCTGTCACACACACACACACATGAACGCGCGTGCGCGCACACACACACACACACACACACACACACACTCTCATCTTGAGAGCCTTCCAGCTTTTTTTCTGCAATGCACGGACCTCACAAAAAAAATGACTCAGGCTTCGCCGGGCTCACATTTATAATCCCTGCACTTTGGGAGGCCGAGGTGGGTGGATCATGAGGTCAAGAGATCAAGACCATCCTGGTCAACATGGTGAAACCCCGTCTCTACTAAAAATACAAAAAATTAGCCGGGCATGGTGGCACATGCCTGTAGTCCCAGCTACTCAGGAAGCTGAGGCAGGAGAATTGCCTGAATCCAGGAGACGGAGGCTGCGGTAAGCCGAGATCGCCCCATTGCACTCCAGCCTGGGTAACAAGAGCAAAACTCTGTCAAAAAAAAAAAAAATGACTCAGCCTTACATAAGAAACGGGAATTTGACGGGGACCAGGAGTGTGATGACTCATTGGCTTGAAATTACCAGTGGCATACACATGTTTTCTTAGTTGATTTTAAAAACATTTATCTTTAAGGATTATCCAAAATAAATGGTTTGGGAGGCAAAATAGAGTGAAGATCCCACGTCAGGGCAGGAAATAATAGTCATGATGGACTGGAGGGGACAGGAGGCTGAGGACAGGGCCCTTTTAGGCCAGCTCTCAGAATGTTCTGGTGAGAATCCAGAACTCTCCTCCCAGGAACTCAGGGCATTTCAGGAACCGTAGTAATACAATCACTTCATATAGCAAGGGTCAGCCCCTGAGGTATCCAGGGAGTACCTTGACTTGAAAGAGCTGTGATCAACTTCAATGGCATCTCCTACTATCACACTGCAGAAGCCTGTGAAGCTGTGGTCCTTAGCCCTGTGCACAGATAAAACCCCAATCCCAGCCACACCCCACACCAACCAATCAGGATCTATGGAGATGGGGCGCAGGCATCAATATATCTATTTTTTGGTTCCTCAGATGGTTCCCATGTACAGCCAATGATGAGCAGCTGCTGGGCGGGAGGGGCCAGGGCCATTTGATACCAGGTGAATAATGCAAGTTGTTAACGTCTCCCTGATCCTTGAGGGCTATAAGCCAATCCCTTGAATTTCAGATACAACCATTTGTCATTCCCCAGGGAGCTTGAGATTTTTTTTCTCCCTTTTCTGTTATGTTTCAGAAAGCAATTTCCCACAGGGAAGCCTGGTGTCTACACAGAGCTGACAAGAGGGCACCTTAGGGAAGGTAGGCCGGGTTTTGGAAGTAGCAGGCCCCTCCAAGGAGAGTGCCCTTGGATTCACCTACAGGCAGCCCAGAGTCCTCTGACAGCAGCCCAACTCTCCCACACCATGCCCAGCCTAGAGGCCCAAGGCCTCCAGCTGGACTGTACCAGCCATCCACTGCCAGGGCGGTCCAGCCTATGCCATCCGCGGCTCCACTGGCAACAGGATAAAGTCAGGGGCTTCATGCTGGCACTTAAGGTTATACCCAGTCTTCCTTCAACCTTCCTCTCCCTCTTCCTGTGCACACGGACCCTGCCCCACCAGGCTGCTCCCTCCCCGCCCCAAATGCCCAGCAGGTTCCTACTTCCAGACTCCAGTCACACCCAACATTCCCTGGCTCACCAATACACAAGGTCTTCAGGCATCTTCTGTGGAATGCAAATCCCCCTTGGCAGGAAAACTCTTGTCAGCTCACTGCCTAGGGAGGATCTACCGGAGGTTGGGTGGAGGTGCAGAGAACACGTCCTGGGCCCCAGGGGGAGGTGAGAGAAGGAGGCGGAAAGCATCTTGGACACAATTCATCCCCATGGCCTCAGCCTCATTTCAGACTCCTGGCTATGTGACAACTGGCACTGCCTGTGCCATTACCTGCCAACCCCACACGCACGTTCTGCCCTCCTCACCTTTGTGTGAGAACTTAGCCTCCCCTCCAAGAGCTACCAAAAGGGGGCTGGTAACTCTGGGCCAAGTCTGTCACAAACTGACTTTAAGGCAGGAGGTTTCATCTCCCTGAGCCTCCATTTCTTCCACCACTATGAAGCAGAATCGTAAAAGCACTAACACGGGGATTCGCTGTGGGGATTCGGCGAGGCAGTGCAAGTGAAGAGCACAGTCCTTTCAGGGAGGCTATCCCATAAATATCGCCACCGTCATGGTGCGTAATTATGTATAATCCTTGCAAGCTTACTGGACTCCACCATGGACTGTAAGTGTCAGGAGGGCAGGGACCTTGCCTCCCTGTATGCTGGGTGCTCAGCATGTGCCTGGCACCCAGTTGGGACCCCATGAATATTACTGGAATAAATGAATGAGGCAGAAGCTCTTATGATTGTTTTGTTATTGTTATCATTATCATTGTCATGGTTCTCATTATTGGTTTTTTTTTTTTTTTTTTTTGAGACAGAGTTTCACTCTTGTTGCCCAGACTGGAGAGCAGTGGCGCAATCTCAGCTCACTGCAACCTCCACCTTCCAGGTTCAAGCGGTTCTCCTCAGCCTGCCAAGTAGCTGGATTACAGTCATGTACCACCAAGCCTGGCTAATTTTGTATTTTTAGTAGAGATGGGGTTTCTCCATGTTGGTCAGGCTGGTCTTGAGCTCCTGACCTCAGGTGATTTGCCCGCCTCAGTCTCCCAAAGTGCTGAGATTACAGGCTTGAGCCACCATGCCAGGCCTTATTATTATTTTTATTGTTATTCTTATGAGGGCATTTGAATAATGCCACTGGACTTGAAGGTATTATGCCCTTTCCCTGCCCCTCTCCAAAAGCCGCTTTGTCTCTCTGCATAGCCACTGTTGGCTGTGAGCACCTTCTCTCCTCCTCTGATATCTTTGCAACCCTCCTCTGTGGGGCTGCTGCTGTCTCCTGCCTCTCACTCTGCAGCTGTGAACCAGAGACAACTGCACATCCCTGTGACTCCCTAAAGTTAAGCAAGCAGCTTCACACGGAACCCTGTGTACACAAGTTCAGTCCTGTGGGTGAGGAGCCCTGCTAGGTGACTCAAAAGCCTGTCCTCGAGTACCCACCACCAGGCAGCCTTTTCACCCATGGCTGAGGGATTGCTGCAGTGGGAAGCTGGGGAAAGTTCTGTGCCCCCGCTCAGGCCAGTCTCACCTGGAAATGCATGGAGTGGGTGCCCAGGTCAGCCACACACCCCTAGTTCTTGACCTTTTCATTTCCAACCTCATGTCTCACCTACTCCCCTCCCTTTTCTCTCTGTCTCTCTAAGGCAGGTGCCTTGTTAGGGAGCAGTCAATATCTCCCTGCTGCAGCTCCAGGGTTAGTGGGAAGTTAGCAGTTCCTGAACCTCTGCCTCCAGCAGCTACAGTTTGAATACTATCACCAGCCTCTCTCCGCAGGGTCCTGACCTTGGGGAAAGGCTGGGATGAGGGGTGAGGATGGGAGGAGGAGGGTAGGAAAGGAAGGAGGTTGTGGCACTTGTGACCCTGCTGTATCCTATTTGGCACCTGGGAAAACCATCTCAGGCAATGCAGGCACTAAAATGGCACAAAGTTGGGACCACCTGCTTCACACAACTTCTTTCTAAAGAAAACTGGAGCCAGGTGCAGTGGCTCATCTTGTAATCCCAGCACTTTGGGAGGCTGAGGTGGGTATATCACTTGAGGTCAGGAGTTCTAGACAAGCCTGGCCAACATGGTGAAACTGCGTCTCTAATAAAAATACAAAAAAATTGTATTGTGTGGTGGTGGGTGCCTGTAATCTCACCTACTCAGGGGACTGAGGCAGGAGAATTGGTTGAACCCAGGAGGTGGAGTTTGCAGTGAGCTGAGATTGTGCCACTGCACTCCAGCCTGGGCAATAGAGCCAGAAATAAAAAATAAATAAATTGAATTTATTTGTATGTCTCAAAAGTAAATAAATAGAATTGGAAAGGTAGGCCTGCACTCCAAGAAAAAAACAAACAAACCCATCCTAAAGTAGGAAAAGGATATGAACAGACATTTTTCAAAATAAGACATATATGTGGTCAACAAACATATCAAAAAATGCTCAACATCACTGATTATTAGAGAAATGCAAATCAAAACCATATAGAAATACTACGTCATGCCAGTTAGAATGGTGATCATTAAAAAATCTGGAGACAACAGATACTGGAGAGGATGTGGAGAAACAGGGACAATTTTACACTGTTGGAGAGAGTGTAAACTAGTTCAACCATTGTGGAAGACGGTGTGGTGATTCCTGAAGGACCTAGAAATAGAAATCCATTTGACCCAGCAATCCTATTACTGGGTATATACCCAAAGGATTATAAATCAAACTATTGTAATGACACATGCACACGTATATTCATAGTGGCACTGTTTACAATAGCAAAGACCTGGAACCAACCCAAATGCCCATCGACAACAGACTGGACAAGTAAAATGTGGCACATGTACACCATGGAATACAATGCAGCCA